GCAGGTATGTAGGTTTGTGTGGATGCGAGTGTTTGCTTTCCCGTGCTCCTGTGCCTCAAGGCCTGGCTAGTGTGCTCAAGTGAAGATGTGCCCGACTTGTGCACATTCTGGCGAGAATTGCTGCTATTTCATGCAAACACATGACCTATTTCCCCTTTCTGTACATTCTTCTTCATCCTCCTTTTGCTCTAATTTGTCTCTTTCGGCCGTTCTATACAGACTTCGTGTTGTTCTCAACTCCATTTGCCAGTCCTCGTCGGCCGAAATGGATGGACAGACAACGCGGCCTGATGCGAGCCCAAACAGTCTCGATCCCGCTAGATTGGGCTCCCACTCCGAAGCCCACTACGCACGCCATTCCTAAATATGGTCAGACCAACTGTTCTGTCAAACCGCTCGGCCGGACCCCCTCCTTCAACCATCATACACAATCAGTCACATCCAGTCCGAGTCAACCCACGCTATATCGCACATAACCACGCCTTCTGACCAATACACACACATACACACATACATACAATAACCTTCACAGTCACGGATAGATGAGCACACAGATCCCATAAATTTGCAACACATGACCCGAAGCCCCATCACTGCTGCTTTCCCCGTAAACCTTAACAAATCATAGTCTCAAATGCCCCAGTTGCCTCAGGCTGCCTCTGGTGTCTGTTTTGGACACCCTTTCAGCTCAGCGATCGTAGTTGTGGTGAGGAGTGAGTGACCGAGATTACCGGATCTGGTGTTGCTAAGGTTCTTCTTGCTCGGCGCCTCTTCAGAAGGACGAGGATAGAATTGGGAGGCTGAGAATGTGAAGAGGTCAGCAAGCACGGATGAATTTGTCTGCAACCTCTGCATACACACCCTATCCTCGTGTCATGGGGCCAGGATGCTAAGGTGCAAACTTGCAGACAGCTTGGCCAGAGGCACCAGTTGAAAGCAGGTACAGAAGAGCGCAGACTCACATGACCAAGAGAAAGGGTTGGTCGTTATAAACGTGTACCACATGATGCGTGGGACGAAGCGGAGGGGGAAAATTGTTATAGCTGGTCCATTGGGAGGTACAAGGTTTCCTGCATGGTTGACATTACTTTTTACCCATTATGAGGTGATATTTTAAAAGGATGAGCTTATTCGGGCGGGCATTGTGTTTGCGGTTCGAAGGTGCTCTTTACGAGCAGGTATGCAACTTCAATTTTCTACGATGTGAAGACGATTTGAAGAATGTATATTCGACTTGAACATTTTACGAAACTATCACTAATTCACGGTTTTCAGGATAAGTCGGGCTTCCGACTCACATTTATAGTTGGATTGCTGATGAGGCAAGCACGTAGTTATAAAGGAAATTATGCATAAAAAGTGGGTTTGTTTAGCATGTTGGCACGGTTTTTGGTAAAATAAGGTCTATTGCGACAGAATGAATTCATCGGGGTGGCAGGACGCTGAAGCGAGGATTCTTTTAGCAAAAATCGAGCAGTCTTCACTCCGTTTTTGGGCGAGGTCAATCCACGACCTCCAAGGAACCAGCTCTTTTTTCTAAAGGAAAGTTCGAATCAGGCATAACATTTGCTTGCCATATAAATTGATAATCCCGCTACAGATGTGATTTGTGCGAGGCCTGTCTTACCTTAAAAGTCACATCTGCCCAGTCAACCACTGTGTATACAGATTATCTTTAAACTGTCGCACGAACCAGCTACGAAATCCGTTGCGGGGGTTGATGCGAGGGCAAGATTCGGTCTGTTGAGCCCACCTCCGTTTCGAGTGAATGTGTTTGGTGAAGATATTCGAAGGTGGATCCAACCAGATGACGACGGAGGATTCCTCTTGACCAGCTGTCGATTGGCCTTACTGGAACATTCTTGTTGACACGGTTTCCAGGGCAATCTCCTCCGATTACGGTCAATCGAGAGCTGGTCAGGAGGAATCCGCCGGCGTCTTCTGTTGGGATCGATCTTCGACCCTCTTCACCAAATATTCTAACTCGAAAATGAAGTAAGTTGAACCATTTTCTATTAGTTATTATTTATCACTTAGTTACGGGCATATATACATATATATAATGAATGGTTACCTATTTAGCTTTCTACATACCCGATCCTTCCTTTCGCATAAAGTTATGCATCTACGACGAAGGAGCAAATAAACATGCAAAAACGCTCTGAAAACCTTTCCATCCCTCGTATGACGGACAGCATCAAAACATGGCGTCATCCTTACAATCATAATCAAACTAACGAGTCAAGAAAACTCACCAACTCATCTCTAAAATGCTGTATATCGGCTCTTTGATGAGATTTAAAGTGATTTGGTTAGTTACAGTCATATGTCAACCTCGGAGCATGTGAGTATGTCTGTTATGTGTGTGAATGTGCCAGTATGAAAAACTGCATTTCAAGCAAGAAGAGAACACTTCAAGAGAGACAGGACTCAGTGAAATTCACTGGCATCCTGGGGTCGACTCATCTCATTGTGGTATAGTCAATTATCAGTCCTAAACTAACCTTTTAGCGATATTGCGTTAATCGGTTTCTCTTTCGCGATTTGTGCTCAATTTAAGCAGCAACTAAGCTTTATTTGTGAGATGTATTCACTCTCTTTCGAGTAAGGTGATGCTTAATTTTCCCAAAATCCTATGATTAGGTCTAAAGTTTCCATTAAATTTCACAAAGCCTGGCTACCCAAAGGGTATTCTTATCCAGACAGGAATTGATTGCATTCTCGACCTCGCCTGAATTGGTCTCATCGGCTCAACCAGCGAGACTCGAACCCGGCTGACGCAAAGTATGCGCGAAGAAAAGTTGGGTTTCGAGAAATCTTTTCTTTCATAATTGTCGAGCTTACTTCCCTTTGGAGTGAAAGTGTTCGGTGAAGAGCTTCGAAAGTCGATTCCACCAGAAGACGATGGCAGATTCCTCTTTACCAGCTGTCGAGTGTCTTTACTAGAACATTCTTATTGACACGGATTCGGGGCAATCTCCTTCAATTCCGGTGAAAGCGTGCTAAGCTTTCGTCTGTCGTATGACGGACAGTCCCAGAGGTTTCGCCCCCTTAAACGAAATAGGATGAACACAGTTCTTATTCAAGATCGTCTGGTTGCCTCAAAAACCTACTTAAAACGAAACTTTCCCTCTCCAAATTCACATTTACCGTATTGCGAGTGTTTTTTTTTTGATGAGACTAGAATGTGTTTGCTTTTTTTTGAAGACAATACTATGTATGAAATAATCTAGTATACCCTAAATAAGAAGTTGATTCGGCTTAGAATACCAAATTTCCTATTCCAGATATACTACTAGTTTCGAGGCCTACACGAGTAATATCGCTATTGTCCTCATTTTGAGGGCAGTCTCCCAAATTAGTCTGTATCCAAGACATCAAGTGTTTACTCATTCTACTAAATTGAATGTTGTCGACAAGTTCTCCATTCATTTCTTTGTAAATCCGTCTGTCAGACTTGATAAAACTCTATACAATAAATCTTAAATTAGAGTTTTAGTAGCCCTCACGAAGGAATGATAGTCAAATTTTCCCACAATTATATGGACAGGTCTAACTAGGCCGTTGAATATCACCCGGCCTCTCTTTCCAAAGGTATTTCCTTCCAGAGTGGAAGTGCTGATGAGTCAGCCCTAAGCGAGGTCGCAACTGCAGTTCACTTTGGATGAGAAGACTTTTTGGAAGCAGGGCCTAGTGAAATTGGTTGGCATAGTGAGACCTATTCATATGAATGTAGAACATGTTATCTACCAGTCCTTAATCACCTTGTGCGAGCTAGGATGACTGGAGCTGCTAGTGATGAAATGGTGCCTTGCTCCTGTTCGCATCTTCACGGACACCTTCAGAGCAAAATCCCTTTTTCTCACTGCCTTCTAGAAAGCTGTACACGCCGGAGGCTAATCCCTCTGTGCACACACAGACACACACACATGCACGGGAACAACTTTTCGATTCTGGTCGGCTCCCCACGTGACGATATCGTCTATGCGGCTCGGCGTGAGCTCTTGTAGATTTGCCCAAGTCTTCGGTTGGTCTTCTTGCTCAAGAGGTGCCAACATGTGAGGATGGAAATGGACACAAAGCTGAAAAGAGCTGACCATAACACACATTGCCGCCGATGCGAAAATCACGATGTATTTGTCTAACTTTATTATTCAAGTTACACTGAGAGGGCTAGGGCGAAAAGCATAGGAGAACAGACTAGCACGTACAGCGTTTTGGGGCAACAAATGGAAATACAAATAAAGCAGAATCTCCTGAAGCAATCTTACAAGCTTGGCGGAGACGGAATAGACAGTTCATCCGAGCAAAGTTAAGACAGAAAGACCAAAATGCTCATAGCCGATTTCATTTGACAGAAGCATCACCACAATTGTATGCCCATCCACCATCCCGGCAGACCATTCTACACCATCTCCAGAGTGGTTGCCATGTGGATGATAGAATTTTTCGAAGAGGTGGACGCCACCAAAGGAGCAGCCAATCGGTTGTTGGGCAAAGCGCACATGTTGGAGGCAATGTCAAGGAAACTGGATAGTCCTGTCGTGTTTGCTGTCCGTGATCCACCATACACTCGTGTGTACTGTCGATCTACCGGCCGGTCACAAGGTCCCCCTATCGTCCCCTCCGCCTCGTCTTCCACGTCCAGTCTGCTCCGTTCATCTTCATGCCTCTCCAGATCCTTGCCTTGCCCTGCCGAACTCTCAGCTCTACCGTGCCGCCAGGCTCTGCTTGAGGGATCCGTGCTCTGATCCTTGATGAGTCGATCGGCTTCACTTTTCGACTTCGGATCCACTTTCGAAGTAGTCTCGCCATCCTCCTCCTGAGTCTCCCCAGCCTCAAAAATGAGCCTGCTGCTAGCCAGCAGCTTCTCCACGTCTGCGCTTGTCAGCTGATTGTCGAAGAACACTTCTTCAACCAGCTTTGGGGCCACATTTCGCAGGTCGGCAAGAAATAGTAGACTCCGCTCGTACCTGCATGTGCATGTGTCAGTGTGTATATGAGTTAGAGAGGAGGGCAAACATAGATTGGGCTTGGGTTGACAAAATAAGTCCAAAAACAATCGTTTTCTCCCGGGATACCTGCCAAGTTGTCTTCTGCTTTTGGGGAGGACTTAGTGAAAAGTCTCTGCTTTAAGCACAACGTACTTTCCTTTCTGACCCAACTTAATTTCCATCTTCAGGAGACCCTTGATTAAGCGTAGTAACAGATGTAACGATGTAGACCATCTCCCTTATAGCAGTTAGCCAATTGGGCAGTTTAATAATGTATACATTTGATCAGGTTATGTTTGGTCATTTTTATCAGATATCGTGGTCTTAACAAGAGCTGTACTCACACTAGGACAAATAATGTCACGAATTTTCCAACCATTTTCCAACCATTTTCCAAAAATGATTACGCCTCAGGCTCCAATTGAAGTTCACTTACCCTTAATTCCCAAAAGTTGTCCTCCTCCAGGGTAGATTTCATTTGCGGCCTAACCTGGGTACTATCGCCGCCCACAACGAGAATCGAACCACGGCACACTGACACGGGTGCCAGTGGACCACAGGGCGGAAGTGAAGTTTGAGGCTTGTCAAACCTCTTTGCATTTCAATTTTGGTGGGATTCTCGATGCAGCAAACTTGTATTTGCTATTACACTTCAGTACACTAATTGTACCCAATTTTAGAAAGTTAACCGATGGATCGACTTATCTACTGGAAATTTTAAAACCTACTAAGGCTGAATCTTGTAAATTTTATTTTCGCAGTCATCACTAAGTTGAGAATAAGAAATCGAGTCAGTATAGCTCGTTGTGGTGATGTATAGATGGATTTTTGAGTTTTCACACATTTTAATTGATAGACCTCAAGATGCCAGTAGATTTCATCCCTAAAAGGACTTCAAATCGGGTCATGAGCTTCAAGTGGTAGTTTTGCCACTTCTCCGCACAGCCACAGATGCCAGCGGATGACAAGACAGGTATGAATTCGAAGGTCAATTAAGTCTATCGCAAATCACACCCATTAGACAATTAATTTTGACATGGTAAACAGCACAGTCTCAGCATTGAAATGAAACGAGTTGGTAGGCCTCTTGGTTATCAAAGGTCTTGAATACCAAAATATGCGACCTTGAAGAAGTCTGATTGGCCCTAAAATTCACATCTACACTTTTATTTATTGGCACTAGTGACTGTTGCAAAATGATGGCAATACTGATGGACACTCAAGACGCGACTTTGAATCAAGTCAGGAGTTCTGAAGAGACACTGCAACAAGGTCAAAACTGCAATGAAATTCGAATGTGAAGACCCTTTTTGGTCTTTTCTTCTTCCTCATTTGACCTGTATCCATCTAGGATTACTTGATTTCTTGCCCTACGAAAAGTCAATCTTGGTTGGTCAAAGCTAAGCCACACTATTTTGAGATTTTCTGAAAAGGTGGGTTTTCCAGTTACAAATGCCGAATTGGACATCGTCCTCTGGCCGCCCAGAGGGAAACCGAAAAAGACTCATCCTCATCAGTCTCAAACGTTTGTACGCATGCAGAAAAGACAATCAACCAGGATTGTAACCAGCACTCATTCTTGTTTCAAGGTTTTTCGCAAATTTCTGTGAAAATATGCTTTTACCTCTCTGAAGATGTCTATCATGGCTGGATAGACGAAAGCTCAGCAGGGACACATTGGGAACCGGGATAAAGCCCGTTTTCACTTCAAAACAATCCTTCTTCAGCTCCCGAAGCAGTCGTACCTTACAACAAATCGTTCAAATGAAATGATGAGTCCAAATAAATTTGTTTGAAGGGTTTTACTAGCAGCAGTGACCCTTCGGATCCACATTCTGAATTTATCGGTTCTGGAGGAGCAGGACTCATTCTGCCCCACAAATTCTACTGATGAAGTTATTAATTTGCAAAATCTCAGGTCCTTTTTAATTCCTCTAGCTTAGCTTTGCTTCAACCATACCTTCTGGAGCCAGATACCATGTTTTTGCGATTCACCATAATGATTAATGGGAAATTTCATCACGCTGTGTGATAAAGATAGACCTCGTACGGACCGATCAAGTCGAGCCACAAGTCAGCCTTAAACAGCGACCATGGGGTCTGGCGCTATGGAATAAATATTACCTTAAGCGTATCGTTTATATGTGAATATTCAATTCAACTATATATATATGTAATATTTTATTTATTTTATTTTATTGCATAGTAGTAGTAGTAGTAGTAGTAGTAAGTAATATTATACCCACTGAATCCCTCTTAAAATGTAACCCGCTAATTAGCCTAATAGATGGTTCATATAGATGCATCTAGACGAAACATATACATCTTCTCCCTATAATATTATTATTTTAATTATTTTGGATAGCAATGTCATCTTAAGCCTAAAGCCATTCTAACGACTTATTCTGCAGTTTTTGATCCCTTACAATTAGTCTGTGCTTTTTCTAATACCCCTCCTGTCTCACCTGTTAGGTTGACTCGGATACTGGAGGTTTTGATGATGCGCCATTACCATCTGGGCCCTTTCCCGAAAGCCAGCGGTCTTCTTGCTGTCGCGTAAACCCGGACTTTTTGAGTTGAATAGAAGGACGGCCTTCAGGCAATCCAGCTCAACTGGGTCTATCTGCAAGCGGGTTGAGCGACGCACACGCACACGCACATGACGGCGTATAAGAGAGGAGAGTTGGAGTGGAAGTATGGGGATACAGTTTAGATGTGGCTTTAGGGATTTGCAAAACTATAAAATCAGGGATACAACAATTTTCAAGTGGGGCTAATGGAGAGGAATTTAATTCGCCACATCGTTGATGTTGCTCTCATAAACTTCGATGCTGCCCTGCGACAATTTCGCCAAAGAGCCTGACAATGTTAAGTCCACTCTTTGTCTATTCATCAGATCGCGTCGATCAGTTCTCGATCCACACCATCCAGGGACTCCGGCAAAGCTGATTAGAGACTTCGGCTTTCGTAGACTGTTCGAAGAAAATTCTGGGTTAGTTTAATCTTGTGAAATAAAATTGTTGTGAAGACTTTCATTTCGTATTAAAGTACATTTGTTCGTTACTAAGTATTGACTTGAGACTTTCGCAATAATGCGTCCCATCACTGATAATGTTCATCATATAATGGACGAAATCTCATCCCATTTTCACCAGAAACGAGGACAGATTTCT